AGTTCTCTGTGAAGTGTGGCATTCTTTTCTCCAAATCACTTGTTATTTGCCAATTTATGTGTTTGTTTATTTTTTTCTTTTTTTTTTTTTTTTTTGAGACAGAGCCTCAAGCTGTCCCCCTGGGTAGAGTGCCGTGGCATTACAGCTCACAGCAACCTCCAACTCCTGGGCTCAAGCGAGTCTCCTGCCTCCGCCTCCCAAGTAGCTGGGACCACAGGCGCCCGCCACAACGCCCGGCTATTTTTTGGTTGCAGCCGTCATTGTTGTTTGGCGGGTCCGGGCTGGGGATTCGAACCCGCCACCTTAGGTGTACGTGGCTGGCGCCTTAGCCGGTTGAGCTACAGGCGCCGAGCCTGTTTATTTTTTTCATTCAGTTTATAGCTTGGTCTTTATCTCACCCAGGCCATTTTCTGTGGCCAGTATCTTTCTTAGAATGCTAAATTTATTTTATTTTTTTTTTTGAGACAGATTCTCAAGCTGTCACCTTGGGTAGAGTGCCATGACATCACAGCTCATGGCAACCTCTAACTCTTGGGCTTAAGCGATTCTTTTGCCTCAGCCTCCCAAGTAGCTGGGACTACAGGTGCCTGCCACAATGCCTGGCTTTTTTTTTGTTTGTTTTTTGTTTTTTGCAGCTTTTGGCTGGGGCTGGGCTTGAACCTGCCACCTCTGGCATATGGGGCTGGTGCCCTACTCCTTTGAGCCACAGGCGTCACCCACACCTGGCTGTTTTTTGGTGGCAGTTGTCATTGTTGTTTAGTAGGCCCAGGCTGGGTTTGAACACACCACCCTAGGTGTATGTGGCTGGCGCCCTGCTGACTGACCTATAGGCGCTGCTGAATGCTAAATATTTTGTAAGAAAATGGTTACAGCGTACCTGGCATTCCCTAGCTCAGCTTAAGAACTTATAGCATTGTTTTCCTGAGGTTCAATGGCAGGACCACCAATTTGGGGGAAATGCAAGGGTGTCATTCACATTACAATGTATGTATGGAGTTGTGCAGTGAACAATACTGGACTATGTGTGATGGTGTTGAGCCACTGAAAAAAGGCCTGAGCTAGTAGCCTGGAGACCTGGGTTCCAGACTCTGCTAAGCCTCTGACTTCATAAATGACTTTGATTGGTCACTGTGCTTACTTCCCTGGGCTATTTTTTTCTATCTATAAAATGGACTAAAAACATTTTTGAGACAGAGTCTTACTCTGTCATCCAGGCTAGGGTGCTATATGGCCTTATTTCATAGCAACCTCAAACTCCTAGGCCTAAGTGATCCTCCTGCCTCAGCTTCCCAGTAGCTGGGACTACAGGCACCTGAGGCCATGTCTGGCTAATTTTTCTGATTTTAGTAGAGACAGGGTCTTACTTTTGGTGAGGCTGGTCTTTAACTATCCTGAGCTCAAAGGATCCTACTTCCTTGTCTTCCCAGAGTACTACGATTATAGGCATGAGCCACCACATTTGGTTTGGCTTAAAAACTTAAAAACAAACAAACAAACAAAAAAACGTTTATGGGCTTGGAGCCTATAGCTCAGGGCTAGGGTGCCGGCCACATACTGCTGGGTTTGAACCCAGCCCAGGCCTGCCAAACAACTACAACAAAAAAGTAGCCAGGTGTTGGCTCGGCGCCTATAGCTCAAATGGCTAAGGCGCCAGCCACTTACACCTAAGGTGGCGGGTTCGAATCCCCAGCCCGGACCCCCCAAACAACAATAATGGCTGCAACCAAAAAATAGCCGGGCGTTGTGGTGGGCACCTGTGGTCCCAGCTACTTGGGAGGCGGAGGCAAGAGACTCGCTTGAGCCCAGGAGTTGGAGGTTGCTGTAAGCTGTAATGCCACAACACTCTACCCAGGGGGACAGCTTGAGGCTCTTTCTCAAAAAAAAAAAAAAAGCCGGGTGTTGTGGCAGGCAGTGTGTGCAGTCCCAGCTTCTTGGGAGGCTGAGGCAGGAGAATCGCTTAAGCCCAAGAGTTTGAGGTTGCTGTGAGCTGTGATGCCATGGCATCTAACTGAGGGCGACATAGTGAGACGCTGTCTCAAAAAAAAAAAAATCATTTATGTAACATCACATTTTGGTACAGAAAAGAAAATCATTTATGTAAATCTTGAATTATTTCAAAAAGGGAACTTGGGGTGAATAGTAAAACTTGGTAGGATTTTCTTTCTTTTAAAGATGACCGATTATAGAGGTATAGTGCATTTAAAATGCTTTATAGACAAAGGCATTAGTTTTCTCTTGTTTTCCTTGTTTAGGTGAGGTGGTACTGCATGAGTCTTAAGGTTGAGTCTGGCCTTACCCAGTCACGCTTATTATAAGTCAGTACAGTCAGAGCAGTGGCCAATTTGGGAGTGGAGAGAAAGGCCTGGATTTCTCTCAACCCTCTTATCTTTGATAGATGCCCCTCAACTAGGAATTGAGACAAAGGATCTCAGGGATACTCAGATGCCAGGGGAAGTCAACACCTGACCATTCTTCTCTCATGTTCAGCGCTGAGAGATAGTACCCATTGCACTGCTGGAGGCCCCTCTTCCTTGGTTTTTACTGGAGCCTTCATAATCACCCTTCCCCTGCTGGGCAACACTAGACTGAGGTCCCCAAAACCTTTCTGGGCTCTTGTGGAAAAGGATAAGCTGGGTGCTCTGGGGATACTCCTCAGAGACCATCAGGGTATGTGTATTTGAGAGAGAGAATGGGCATTGAGTCAAAAAGGAGTTAGAAAATCAGGATTGAGGCCAGGCGCAGTGTCTCACACTTGTAATCCTAGCACTCTGGGAGGCCAAACTGGGTAGATTGCCTGAGCTCATGGGTTCAAGACCAGCCTGAGCAAGAGCTAGACTCCGTCTCTAAAAAATAGCTGGGCATTGTGGTGGGCTCCTGTAGTCCCAGCTACTTGGGAGTCTTAGGCAAGAGAATCGCTTTGAGCCTAAGAGTTTGAGGTTGCTGTGAGCTATGATGCTATGGCACTCTACCAAGGGGCAATAAAATGAGACTTTGTCTCAAAAAAAAAAAAAAAAAGGAGAGACAGAAAAGAAAGAAAATCAGAACTCAAAGCCTCCAGCCTCCAGAATGCAATTCGGGGATCATGGCATCTCCTTGTTTTACGAGAAACTGAGGACCCAGTCACTTGGCTGCTGAGGGGCAGTCCTGGGAAGGAAAGGGGTAGGGGCCAGTTACTGTTCACACCTGGTGCATGCCAGTCACCACATTCCCTTTATCTCCTTTTCACTGTTGTACAGATGAGGAAACTGAAGCCCACAGTGGTAAACAACTGATCCAAAGTTTCCTCCTACTTAATAAATGGACTTAAACCCTGTGTATGCGTCACTCTGCCTAATTCTTTGAGGGAACAGACAAAAGTCAGAACTGGAGGGATAGAGATAGGCTGTAATGTCACTGCTTTAGGGATAGAATGGTAGCAAGTATACCAGAGGCAAAGAGAGAGGAGTCCTTTAATAAGCTCCCAGCCAGCTTTCCAGCCACCATGCTTGCATCTTGAGCAGCCTCCTAAGCAGAGCTGCCCCAGCTTAAAGGGCCACTTTGTGGAACAAGTCCACTTAATAGCCATGCTAGAAAGAAACTAGTGATAAGCCTCTCAGTCTGCAGCAACTGGTTGATCTGATGGCCTTTGCTAAGAGAGGCAGCTTCCTAACACATCTCCATCACTGACTAGTAATCCAAAGGCTCTGAGGTTTTAACAAATGGGATTGGTCCAAAACCTGACCTCACTTTCATTTAATTTCATGCCAGCCCCAATACACAGCCAGCTGCACAGACCTTGTCTAACTAGTGAGCTGCTCAGACACAAAGGCGCTCTAATTACCATCCACAAGCCAGGCTGACAGGGATTTCAAGTGTTTTCATGTTTATGGAGATCAGAGAAATATGTTCTGTACATCTTTCCCACTGATGGCAAGTATAAAATAAAACCAAACAAAAAACACAACACATTTATTCAAAACAGGTTTTTCAGTTAAGTTAAAATCCTATAATCAGGATAGCCATAATTCCACACACTCCGGTGCGAAGTGTAGTTATGTCAATAGCCACATCTGGATGATGAACAAGCCACTGACTATACAGCTAAAACAACAGAATGGTCTCAGCGCCCTTACAGCGACTGAACAGTATGTTTCAAGCACTTCACCACGGTTCACAATGGCAAAGCCCGCAGCTTCTCCATTTGGAGGGTCACATTTTCTACTGTTTCTTTCACTTACAAAGGCGAGCGGGCATGGCTGGGGGAGGGGCAAAGAGGAGGAAATCAACTCCCTCTATCCAGGGAATTGCAGCTGTTATTGCAAATGGCCCCGGAGAGCCCATTATAAGCTGCTGTTCGAGGCTGTGTGTCCCCGGAGTGCCCGTCACGTGGGGGCTCCCTCTTCCCCAGCCCAGGCCCCTAGAGCCTCCCACTTGAGTAGGACAGAAGGGGGGGGTATCATGACAGCTTCCCTGAAAGCGGGCAGCATAGCCAGGGACAGTGGTCGCCCGGGGGCAGCTCAGCACATTCCCACCTCCCCACACCCGTGGTGGTGGCCGCTCGCGTGTTCTCAAGATACTCCAGCACTTGGCAAAACACTGCGCTCTTCTCCTAGTACAGGCAGAACCCAGCTATTCTGCTCTGCCTGAGCCCCGCAACCCTGTGCGTGCCTGGGAAATTGTGACCTTGAACCCGAGGAGGGGAGAGCCGGCTTTGAAAATACACTTTAGGCTCGGCGCCTATAGCTCAACCGGCTAAGGCGCCAGCCACGTACACCTAAGGTGGCGGGTTCGAATCCCCAGCCCGGACCCGCCAAACAACAATGATGGCTGCAACCAAAAAAAAATAGCCGGGCGTTGTGGCCCAGCTGTGGTCCCAGCTACTTGGGAGGCTGAGGCAGGAGACTCGCTTGAGCCCAGGAGTTGGAGGTTGCTGTGAGCTGTAATGCCACGACACTCTGCCCAGGGGGACAGCTTGAGGCTCTGTCTCAAAGAAAAAAAAAAAAAAAAAAAGAAAATACACTTTAAAGAGGCCACAGGGTTCACTCAATGCCTCATTCTACTATTCAATACCCCCACTTCCTTATGCCCACCCGCGGCGTACGGCCTTCCCCCACTACTCTGAAAACAGCAGACAGTTGCAAAGAGAGGGCAGAGGTTACTCCTATTCAACCCCAAGAGGGTCCTTTCATGGTACCGCATGTTCTATATTAAGAACCAGCACCCCAAAAGAAACAAGATGGGTTTAAAAAAAAAAAGTATGGTAGATGTTCAAGTCTGCCAGACTGGGGCGCTCCCTGAAATTACTATCTACTCATGTTCTCCTCCCCCAAAGCGGATCAGGAACCAGCCCTGAAAAGCAAAAGTGGGTAACTGGGATCATCTTCCGTGGTTACGGCATATAGTGATCCTAAGAACAGTGGACTATGGCCACAGGGCCTGGTGACCCTGTGGGCCAAGGCCCCGTGGCCCCGGGAAGCTGCGCAGACCTGCACGCTTTGCGGCCAGGTCGGGTCCTGCTAAATAAGGAGTCCTACTGTGAGGTTGGGGTGCACTCTGCAAACTCTGCCTTAAATAGGGCCAGTTAAGTCCTGTATTTCAAATAGATTGGGGCCCTCGCGCTCAGTTCCCTGCGACAACATTCGCGATTTTACAGTTCCTCGTCTTCATTAGCTTATTTCTCTTGCCTTCGAAAGAGTTCTCCACCAGCCTGAGTAGTACTGGAGCCCTCTGGTGAACCCCTTGCCCTCCAGTCAGAGGCTGGTCCTGTAGCCGCCGAGGGAGTGTTAGCTGCCAGGGACTAGAACGCCATCGCCAGTTCTGAGCTGCGCCCTCTCAGACGCGCCAGGGTCACTGCAGGCCGCGCGAGGGCTGCGGGGAGAAGGGGGCTCATGCACTGGGGCCGACAGAGGCCCTAGGAGCGGGCGTTGGGGAAGTTTTGTATGTAACTGCAAGCGTCGCGAATGAAGCCTCCGCACAGCCTCCTTGATGAGGTTTCCCGAGAGCACGAGCTGCTGCAGGAGTCGGTGCGGATCGTCGTCGTTTGTGCGGGTTTCGGGTTGGGATCCGCGTCGCTGCTGCAGGCGGCGAGAGGCGGCAGCGCCCCGGAGCCATCCTCGCCGGCACGGACCTGACAGCTGCTGTGAGACACCCCTCTTGCCAGCTCCTAGAGGCCCATCCTGGCCCGGCTGAAGGGGCAGTGTGGGTAGCGCACTGGGGCCTGCCACAAGCTCGGCCACGCAGTAGGGCGCAGCCCGGCCCCGCACACGCCCGCGGTCTCCAAGGGCGCAGCGCAGAGCCCCCGGGGGCGCCGGGCCCACCCCTTCAGATGAGGAGGGCGGCAGCAGCAGCTGCACCGCCGCGGCTGGGCCCTCGTCCGCCCGCACCGCCGCCTGGGGCCGCGGGGCCCGCAGCGGCGCCCCCAGGGAAGCGCACGGGGAGGCCGGGCTGTCCTGCGCTGCGTCCAGCTGCAGCGTCTCGCCGATCTGGGCCACCAGCTTGTCCACCTCGCCCGAGCTGCCCAGCGTCACCGACTGCTCCAGCAGGAGGAAGCTGTCCTTCTCTTCCTCCCCCTCCGCTTCCTCGCCGGCTTCCTCTTCCTCCTCCCTCCGGCATGGCATGGTCCCCCGCGCTGGCACCTGGAGCTCTGCGGGCGTGGGTGACTGCCCGGCTTCCCGCGAGTTCGGCCGGTTGCGGCAGACCCGGGCGCGGGGCTGGGGCTAGGGCTAGGGCTGAGGCTGGGGCCGAAGCCGGGGCCCAGGTGGACGCGGAAGCCGGAGCCCGCCAGACACTCGCGCCGCGCGCCTGCAGCCGCGGGAGCCGGAATCCTGCCGGCTCGGGTTGATTTGTAAACAATGGGTGACGTCGTGTCGGGCCCTACCACAGCTCCGGGGAGGGGGTGTGCTGTGCAGTTGGGGGGCGGGGCGCCTTCAAGGCGGGAGTTCAAGGTGAAGCCTAGCTGCTTTTGACCTCCATCATTCAGGGTTATGTCTCTGGGGGCGTACCGGGATGCTGATCCTGGCTTCCTCAGCAGGGCGTGATCGGCATTTCCAGAAGATGGACGCCGGCGTGGAATCTATTGGTTTCTTCCACACACAACCACATACACTAACACACACACACACACACTTCGTGCGTCAATTTGATTTTTAGCATTTGTTCTTTTGAGGTCTAGGTGCGGGCGTCTGGCGAGGATGGAAAAGAGAGGAAGTCAGGCCGGATAGGGATCTCTATGGAGATTTAGGGAAATGAGGCTAACAAGGATCAAAATGAAGAAGGGGTTCCTGTCTGGTAATAAGGGTAGTGGAGTTGGAAATGGCAAAGACAGGCTGGCCCTGATCCGGAGGCTGGGCGAGTGGGATCTGGGCTGAGGTTAGCATTGCTGGAGAAGAGGAGGTTGCTAGTCTTGAGAGGGGTTATCCCTACAAGTGCTTTAGAGAATGCCTCAGTCCACTAGAAGAAGATCCGCCCTGAGAGGGTAACAGAGAGGAAAATAGTGAGCTGATTGGATGAAAATAAGATATGGTCCAGCTAAATCTTTCAAGATTATTAAAGCTAATTTAATAGTTAACCCAGACTTCATTTTGTTTCTTTGAGACAGAGTCTCACTTTGTTGCCCTTGGTAGAGTGCCGTGGCCTCTTAGCTTATAGGAATCTCAAATGCCTCGGTTCAAGCCATCCTCTTGCCTCAGCCTCCCAAGTAGCTGGAACTACAGGCGCCTGTCATAATGCCGGGCTATGGCTCAGGCTGGTCTCCAACCCATGAATTCAGGCAATCCACCTGCCTCAGCCTCCCCAGTGCTGGGATTACAGGGGTGGGCCACCACAACCTGCTTAGGAAAATGTTTCTGTAATGGCATGTTGCTTAGAGCCTTTTCTTTCTTTCCTTTTTTTTTTTTTTTTTTTGAGACAGTGTCTCACTATGTCGCTATGGCATCACAGCTCACAGCAACCTCCAACTCTTGAGCTCTTAAGTGATTCTCTTGCCTCAGACTCCCCACTAGCTGGGACTACAGGCACCCGCCAAAACGCCTAGCTAATTTTTGTTGCAGTTGTCATTGTTTAGCTGGCCCAGGGTGGGTTCAAACCTGCCAGCCTCAAGGTGTATGTGGCTCAAGCCATAACCACTGTGCTACGGGCTCTGAGCCAAGCCTTTGGATCTTTATTCAAAATCCCAAATCCCTCAGGCCTATCTTCTAAACAATACAATTGTAGGTAGACCTTGTTGGTCCAGCCTTAAGGGGGTTGGAGGGGTGGGGTGGGGGGACACCATGGCTCAGGCCTGTAATCCTGGAGAGGCCAAGGTAAGAGGATCCCTTGAGCTCAGGGGTTAAAGACTAGCCTGGACAAGAGTGAGACCCCCCTTACCCCCTCCACCCCATCTCTACTAAATAGAAAAATGAACCAGTCATTGTGGGACATCCATAGTCCTAGCTTCTCAGAAGTCTGAGGCAGGAGGATGACTAGGCTGACATCATGACACTCTAGCCTGGGTAACAGAGGGAGACTCAGTGATGGAAATTTTCTAAAACAGGATTATGGTGATGGTTCCACAACTCTAAATTTACTAAAAATCATTGAATTTACACTTAAAGTGAGTGAATTTTATAATATGTAAATTACACATCAGTAAACTTGTTTTTAGAATGAGCCACAAAGCACTCACAGAAACACAGCAGCCAACCAGGAGTTTGGAGTATGAGAGAGGCAGTAGGGAGGGGTCTTAAAATACTGAGCAGGAAAGTAACATGATTTAGAGGAGGTGTAAGAGGAAGAGATTGGACCCTGGGGATCCAGATAAGTAGAAAACGAGGTCTTGGTAGGCATTTTTAAGGATAATAATTACAGGAGCAAACCCTGAGGAAGGGATGAGATGGAGGGAGGTGGAAGAGTTTGTTTTAAAAGAGTTGGGGGGGCGGTGTCTGTGGCTCAAAGGAGTAGGGTGCTGGCCCCATGTGCTGGAGGTGGTGGGTTCAAGCCCAGCCCTGGCCAAAAACTGCAAATAAATAAATAAATAAATAAAAGAGTTGGGATTGGTATAGTGGTGCACCTGTAGCCCCAGTTACTCTGGAGGTTGAGGCTTGAGGATCGTTTGAGTCCAGAAGTTCAAGACCAGCTTGGGCAACATATTGAGAATCCCCCCATCTCCAAAAAGGAGTGAATGAATGAGTAAATAAATACAAATTAAAAAAGAGAGAGTTGGGTTTATTTTTGTCAATGTTGAGGGAAGAATGGAAAAAAAGGGAAGAGGGAGTTGGAAATCCATTGAATTTCTTTCTTTCTTTTTTCTTTTCTTTTTTTTTTTAGAGACAGTTTCACATAATCGCCCTCTGTAGAGTGCCTTAGCATCACAGCTCACAGCAACCTCCAACTCCTGGGCTTAGGCAATTCTCTTGCCTCAGCCTCCTGAGTAGCTGGGACTACAGGCGCCTGCCACTATTTTTTGGGGGGTTGCGGTTCAGCCAGGGCCAGGCTTGAACCCTCCACCCTTGGTATATGGGGCTGGTGCCCTACTCACTGAGCCGCAGGCACTGCCCATCTTTTTTCTTTCTTTCTTTCTTTCTTTTTTTTTTTTTGAGACAGAGTCTCACTTTGTTGTCCTTGGTAGAATATAGTGGCATCATAGCTCACAGCAACCTCAAATTCTTGGGCTCAAGTGATCCACGTGCCCCAGCTTCCTGAGTAGCTGGGACTATAGGCACCCACCATGACCTTGATAGTTTTTCTGTTTTTAGTAGAGATGGGGGTCTCACTCTTGCTCAGGCTGATCTTGAACTCTTGAGCTCAAGCAATCCACCTGCCTCAGCCTTTCAGGGTGCTATGATTTTACAGGTCTGAGCCACTGTGCCTGCTACTATTGAATTTCTAAATCTAGGAAATCCAGACTTCTACAGTATGTCATAAAGTTCATCACCTCATTTTTAGTGGATTTCTCAGGATTTTCTATATATAAGATCATGTCATCTGCAAAGAGAGATAGAGGTTTGCTTCCTTCTTTCTTTTCTTTCTTTCTTTTTTTAGCAGGCCCTAGCCTGGTTCAAACTTGCCATCCCCAGTGCACAGGGCTGGTGCTCTAACCACTGAGCAACAGGTCCCCAGCCTTTTTTTTTCTTTGAAGGAATCTCTCTCCGGTGCCCTGACTATAGTGCCATGGTGTCATAGCTCACAGCAATCTAAAGTTCTTGGGCTCAAGCAACTCTCTTGCCTCAGTTTTTCTATTTTTAATAGAGGTGGAGGTCTCACTATTGCTCATGCTGGTCTCAAACTCCTGAGCTCAAGCAATCCACCCCCCTTGCCCTTCCAGAGTCCCAGAGTGCTAGGATTATAGCCATGAGCCACTGCGCCTGGCCTTCCTTTCTTTTTTTCTTTCTTTTTTGAGACAAAATCTCATTCTGTCACTCTGGGATTGAGTGCTGTGGCATTATATTTCACAGAGCCTGAAACTCTTGGGCTCAAGCGATCTTCTTGCCTCAGCCTCCCAAGTAGCTGGAACTATAGGTGCCTGTCACAATGCCAGGATAGTTTTTGTATTTTTTTAGTAGAGATGAGGGTCTTATTCTTTCTCAGGCTGATCTCGAACTCCTGAACTCAAGCAATCCACCTACCTCAGCCGTCCATAGTGCTAGGATTACAGGCTTGAGCCACCACACCCAGCTACTTCTTTCTATTCTTGAATCCTTCCTTCCTTCATTCCTTCCTTCCTTCCTTCCTTCCCTTCCTTCCCTTCCTCTGTCCCTTCTTCCTTTCCTTCTTCTTTGTTTCTTTTGCCTATTTCCTTGTCTAGAACCTCTAAAACAATGTTGAACAGAAATGGCTAGAACAGACACTCTTGTGTTCCTGATCAGAGATGAAACTATTCAAGTCTTTTGCCATTCGAGATGATGTTAACTGTGGGTTTTTCATAGATGGTTTTTATTAGGTTGAGGAAATTCCCATCTATTTCTGGTTTGTTGAGTGTTTTTTTTAATCATAAAAGAGCCATCTCCTCATTTTAAATCATTATGCATTTGAGAGCATAGTCAAAGCAGCCATTTATTAGCCATAGTCTTCAAACCTGATTATTTAAATTTTATTTATTTATTCATTTATTTATTTAGAGACAGAGTCTGACTTTCTTGACCTTGGTAGAGTGCCATGGCCTCATAGTTCACAGCAACCTCAAACTCTTGGGCTCAAGTGATTCTCTTGCCTCAGCTTCCCAAGTAGTTGGACTACAGGTGTCTGCCACAACGCCTGGCTATTTTAGAGCAAGGGCCTTGTTCAGGCTCAGGCTGGTTTTGAACTCGTGAGGTCAGGCACTCCACCCGCCTGGGACTCCCAGAGTGCTAGGATTGCCTGATTATTTAAAATTGAATATGAAAATAATTAGTAGTAGTTTGCAATTTGTGTTTTTTGTTCTTTGGCTTAAAATGTATAAGCCTCATACATTGTTGTGGGCATGAAAAATGTTATAGCCACTTTGGAAAAGGGTCTGGCAGTTTTCTTAAAAAACTAAACATACACCTACCCTAGAACAAAGTTTTATTTATTTATTTATTTTTGAGACAGAGTCTCACTTTGTCACCCTCGGTAGAGTGCCATGGTGTCACAGCTCACGGCAACCTCTGACTCTTGGCCTTAAGCAATTCTCTTGCCTCAGCC